CTGCCCCTCCCATCTGTGGATGCCAACCCAGCCCCTGCCCTTGGGGTCCTGATGCTCAAAGGCCTCCCCGAGTCGCCCCTTCAGGCTGCAGATATAGCTACCCACTCAGCCCGTGACCCCATCCTCTCCTGGGTCTTGGGCTGGGGGGTAAGGGGGTGGCCTACGTCCTCCACTGGCCCCGAGTTCACGGCATTCACAGCCCGTAGGGATGAGCTGTCGATGCTCAAGGGTTGTCTCCTGTGGGGCAACAGGGTCATAGTCCCCCACGCCTTGTGACAATGAGTCCTCAACGCTCTTCACGAGGCGCATTGGGAATAGTAAGGATGAAGGCTATGATCCGGAGCTATGTTTGGTGGCCAGGAATCGATGCCGAGATCAAGGCCTGGGTGAGGAGATGCCAGACCTGCCAGGTGGTCCACCCAAACCTGCCAAGCATGCCAACACAGTTGTGGGAGTCAACACACAAGCCTTGGTCCTGGTTACATATTGACTTTGCTGGGCCCTTCCAAGGGCTGATATTCCTAGTAATGGTAGACTCTTCAGCCCCATGTCCACCAACTCTGCGAAAGCTGTAATCCGCTCACTCTGCCAGATTTTCTCCACCCATGGGCTGCCGGACATGATAGTCTCTGACAACGGGACTGCCTTAACATCGGCAGAGTTCCAGGACTTCCTCCAGCGGAACCTGATCTGGCAAGTAAGATCGGCGCCTTTCCACCCCGTGACCAACAGCCAAGCAGAGAGGATGGTTCGCACAGCAAAGGAAGCCCTAGCCGGATCACAGATGGGGACTGGGAGTTCCGGCTCACCCACTTCCTACTGACACAGTGGACGACACCCAACCCCACCACCGGGCACTGCCCAGCAGAACTGTTGATGGGCTGGCACCCCACTATCTTGTTGGACCGCCTACATCCAGACCAGGCACCGGACTCAAGGAGGCTGACGGAACAAAGGGATGCTCTCCGGGGGTTCTTCCTGGATGACCTCATGTTCATCCAGAACTTTGAGAGGGGGGCCCCATGGATTGCTGGAACAATTGTCCGAGTCACCGGCCCGGTATCCTATGAGGTCTCTACAGAGGATGGCCAACTCCTGAAAAAACATATTGATCAACTGAGGTGGCGACAGCTCCCAGAGACTGAAGAGCACCCCCCCAGCTCGAGGGACCAGGACTCTACACCCTGGAGGCCAGCACTCGGCCCGCACCAGTGAGCCCGCACCGGTCAAGCCCCCGGCCACACCGCCAGAACCCGAAGAGCAGCCACCGCCCTCGCCACAACCAGACATGGCCAGCCAGCCAGAGGCGACCATAAGCGCAGACCCCCCCACCTATCTGCAGGACTATGTAACATAGGTTGAATCGGAACTAAGGGGGGAGGGGTGTTATGTATGCGGACCACCACCAGGGGTCCGTGGCTAAAGCAGGAGCTTGGTCCCCAAATACAAAGGGGACCTAGGATCCTAGTCCACCTTGAGTCCACCAATAGCACCCTCCAATGGGAACATAGGTGTGCCATGTGGAGTGTATATAGTTGGCCTTGCAGGGGCGTTTTCTTTGTCTTGTTATGAAGTACAATAAATGCGTCTGAACGCATGTCGTAGTCTGAGTCCTCCATGCGTTGAACCCAGTACTTTTCACTTACTTACTTATTTACTTTTATCTGACCTGGAAAGCCCAGGCTAGCCCACTCTTGTCAGATCTCAGAAACTAAGAAGGGTTACACCTGGTTAATATTTGGACAGGAGACTACCAAGGAAGTCCAGGGCTGTAACACAGAGGCAGACAACGGCAAACCACCTCTGAACGTCTCTTGTCTTGAAAACCCTATGGGATCACCATAAGTCGGCTTTGGCTTGACAACACTTTCCACCACCACCAAAACATTTATTAGCCGCCTGTCTTCCTCATGGAGCACAATGCAGCTTACAATGAAAAACAGATAATAAAAAAGGATTGTATTGTACTTCCCTGTAAATAAAAACATTCAACAAACAGGTGTGTGTGTGTGGGGGGGCGGCTTTGGGAATGTGAACTCAGTCTATGCCCACTCCTCCTTTACTGGCAAATAGCTAATGAATGAGATTTCAGCATTCTTGAAGAGGTTCACATGCTTAGCTATGATACATGCCTGCTGACTTGTTTTCACCAGAGTTTAAAACCGTTAGATGTGATTTATATTTTTAAAGATCAAGACAAAGATTGTACCACCCATACAAGACTGACAATGACAATTGCCTACCCTTTTAAAAGCCTGGTTTATCAGCTATTATTTCAGGCAACAGCAGTTTTGTCTGTCGATAGCACCATTCCCTGCAGGGCATGAACCTTAACCCAACTGGCCTCTGAAAATACTGAAACATGATTATGCCTCAAGAAAGCCTTAAATTCAATATACTGAAATGAAAAATGACCGTAAGTGCTCCAGCAAATACCACATGTCCACTTGCCTTAAGCAAGTCATTTTCTTTACAGGCAAGTACAATATAATCAGTTTTTTTATTATCATCCATCAACCTTGGAAATGATGCACAAGTAGTCTTTGAGCCTGGGAGAGCAACGCTGCTTTCATGGCAATTCCATGACATAATCATATAATGGATATAATGTACAACCCATGATTTCTGCTGAAGCAGTTAATGTTACAGTCGATCCTGGGGATATAATGGAGGCCATGGAAGGTTATTTATTATTATTTGCTTATCTGATTTATATCCCGCCTAATCAAAGAAATGTCAACATATTACTGAATATTTTAATTTAAAGTCATCCCCTTCAAGTGCTCAGGCAATTAACATTTTCTTATTTCATAAGTCCCATGAGTTTTAATAAGCCCTGTGAAGAACACCACGGTCTCATTCCCATTTTTCATATAGGAGTTACATTGTTTTTGCACAATGTTGTATCACCCATTTTTGTTGCTTGTTTTCCCAATGACACTTCAATGCCTTTTACAGTTTTGATATGTAACTGATGCAAAACATAATAGTAAAAATGTGTAAAGTTAATGCTGGAACTTGGTATAAAACAAGTGGGGAAAAAACATGAAAATAAGGACTCTCAAAATTCAGTTTGTACAAAGAAAAAGCAAGTCTAAAGAAACGGCTGTGAAATTCTGCAGCACTCCTATTTCCACATGAAGATCCAAAACTAAGGAAATGGTCATTCTTTCCCATAAGACTTAGGCAGGAAACCATCTTGGTACATTGTACCTTTGTTCTATATGAAGGGTAAGTTAGCCTGTTGTAGCCAAAATGACAGATAGTCTTGTGGCACCCAAAAGACTGACATACATATTACGTCATAGGGGACCAAGGGAGCTTTGCCTCTTGAAAGCTTCTACCCTGGAAATCTTGTTGGTCTTTAAAGTGCTACTGGACTTGAATCTTGGTCTTCTACTGCAGATCAACATGGCTACCTACCTGAAGCTAAGAAAGAAGAGCAATTTTGTCCAACGTGATACAACTCTTGCTATGGATGAGTGAAATAATCTTCTTGTGGTTTCTCCATGTGCAAAGAAATGACTGCTGGTATGCAAATGCATTATGAAAACCTGTGATTTGTTATTCAAGTCTCTAAAGAATAAAGTGTTTAACATTTAACATCACACTATCTACAAACAATTCAGCAATCACTAAATTAATTAGTCTTTTTTTCTATCTCCAGCTTTGACTGCAACCATGCTGGCTCATTATCTTATTTAATTAAAACCAATGTTTCATTTTTTCCTCTCACTTCGCTACCCTTCCCTGAATTTTGAAAGCTAATCAGATAAAATTTCAGGCTTTACACATATGAATTTTTAAATCTGAAAACAGTGGTGCTAAGCTTTTGTTTCCTTGAAGCTAAAAGCAATATCATCCCGTCCAAAGCCAAGAGTGTTGTGGTCTGATCCCGAGAAGAAACAGCCATGGAGGTGGGGGGGGGTTTTCCCCCTGAATTATGACAATTTATTTAATATATACTACTCACAGCCATGTGGCAAGATTGTGGTTAGCAAACATTTCAAAGAAACTCAGGATGTGATCTCAGTCACTATGTTCAGGCAGAGCCTGTAAACATTCATTCTGGGGAAACACAAATCATTTCGGGATGTTGGATTCTGCTAATGGTGACACTTTCCCCTGTCACAAGCACCTTCCACTGGAGCAAGAGGCTCTCTCCTTGCACCAGGGGCAGGGCGGAGGATTGCCATGAACAGACCAGAAGAGCAGGATCCAACCAATAGTATTTTTCTGCCTCAGCTGCTAACTGACTTTGATCATACCAGCCAGCAGGGAGAACTCAAAGTTTTAATTTTGCAAAGGGAACTATTACTTCAGGCTAACAAGAAATACAGGATTAATTCTACTGCCTTCTGATTTAAAATCAATAACTTTTAAGGCCTGGAAAGTTATGTTTCTTTAATCATTCTCAAGCTTTATATGTTGTGGAATGGTAATGAGCTGAAAAGTCCATATATAAATGGATATTGGTTCATACCACATTTTGAACTCAGTTTCCTCACAGTAAAGTGTGAAGAGAATGCAAGTAGGAATGTAGCATATTCCTCCAGCCCTGTTCAGCACCTACTTAGCTACTTTCACCAACTTTTCGCCTTCTATACTGTCTTCAAATTCCTCCATTCATCTCATTTTATGTTCCCAGCCCACTGCTTTTCAATTCAGTCTATTTCATCTCCATCTTCAAAGCCCCTGTATCTTCCACATTTTACTTTTGGAGTCAGCTCTGATTCCTGCCCTTTGCTAGCTTTCTCACCTCCTCTAGATAGCTCATGTGATATCAAATAAGAATAAGAAAGTGTTGTGCACCATTCCAGAGACTGGCCTCTTATTAGCTGATGGATGTACTGGCAAATGGGGGAACAGCACTGAGGAACAAAGTTAAGGGGGGGTGCCTTCCCCTCTTACCCTTGAGGGGTTCATTTCCCCACATCTTTGGTGGTTGTTATATGAGTCAGAACATTGCAATCAACTGGTTCATGAAAACGGGTGTTTACCTATGACTTTTTCTTTCTTTTCCAGTTTTTCAGGTTGTTCAGGTTTCCCTCTCTTTTCAGGCTTTTCTCTTTTCTCAGGTTTTTCATGCTTTTCCAGCTTTTCTTTGTGCACTACAAAATAACAGGCATATTTTATATAACATGGGAGGGGGACAGCTCTTTGGCAGAACAGAACCAAAACAAAACAAGGCCTTTAGATTAGCCCTCACTCTTCCAGGCCCAGCTGCCTTCTCTATTCATTTTAAGGAAGGCTCACAAGGATTCCCCTGCATTGGGTAGAAATTGGGGGAAACCATGAAGCGATGGAGCCCAACAGATTTTGCTCTTTATCTCCCATTGTTTTTCACTTGACCTGCTGTCCCTCTTTTCTTGTAGAGGAAAAGCTAATTATCTTTGTTTGCAATTTTGCATAAACTGTTTTGACAGCATATTAACTTGTAGCATACATTTTACTTGCAGAAAGAGCTACAAAGACCTTGTTTTTAAAAAAAATCACAGAAAATTAAAAATTAAAGTACAGAACACCAAGATTGAGGTATCAGGATACCAACAACAATTGGCTGAAAGCCAAACTCAACAATATGGTAGAAAATCTGTGACTGCATCTCTGTCTTTTCCAGTGTTCAAGGCAATGGTTTTGGGGACAGGAATCTGAGGAGGAGAGGACTATGGCTGTGGAAGGAGGAGTTAATCATTTGCTCCCATGTTGGTTTCACAAAGTTAAACCCTTCTAAGACCATTGACTTTAATGTACTTAGAAGGATGTAACTTTGTTTAGGATCTCATCTACGTAGGATCTGAGACTCTAGGATAATTATGAGAGTTATGATTTTGTCTCTTTTGCCCCCCAATCTGGAAGAAAGACAGACACGTTTCTTGGGTACTGAACGGGCCACTTTATTAACTTCATTAACAACAATATCGACAACGATGAACAGCAAGGGCACTACAGATTGTGGCATGACCAGGCCAGGGGTCCTCGACCCCTCCCCAGCCATTTGTACTAGGGCGATCCACCCAGCCCCAGCTGGTAGCCAAATGTATGGCTCACAACCAGTCAGCATGGCAAGTGGATGATGGCCAGGGATAAGCCAGAACCCCCGAGCCTCGAGGCTCAAAGGGATGGCAATCCCGTGCCATCATCTTGGCGGTCAGCTTTCCCCGCCCCGGGCCTCAGGGCCCAAAGACTGTACTGGCAATACCCCTATGCCCCAATCGGGGTTATATGCCGGTGGTCACCATGCCACAATCTGATAAACTAACATCCTGCCGCTAAAGTGACCGACCTATTTAAACTCAGCCACACCCCAGCCAATTTTTCCCTATCCTCCGTTGCAGTATGAGGTAGGCGAAAACACCCCCTCCCTTGGCCAATCTGGGAAAGGGCGAAAAATTCCTACCCGGCCCCCATAAAGAGTGACCAGCCAATGCCCATACTGTCAACAGGGTGGGAGGGTGGGTCGAGCGATCAGGCGCGCACTGAAGGGGGGAGGCAGGGGCCGGCCTCAAAGCTCCGCCCCCCGTTCAGTCCCGGATGCGGCGGTTGCCGCGCCCTGCTCTTCCTCCTGCAGGGCGGCAAAGGCGGCCCCCGGACTGCATGGGCGAGCCGGCAGCCCGGGAACCGAATTGTGCAATGAGAATTATACTAGCTGTTATTAAAACAGCACTTAAAATTACTAATAACTAGATCTGGGTTCAGTTCTTCCAGGAAGCAAGATTTTACTTAGCTGGCAAGCAAGAACCTTTTTCCAAAACTGGAAATTTTTGGAAACTGAAAAGGGTAGGAGGGTGATTATTATGTAGGAAAGCTAAAATATTTTGCTTGTTGATAATTTTTGTGGACTACATTAGTATGTAAGAATCTTAAATGTGCACAGGATTGCAGCCAATAACTACTAACAAATAAAGCTTTAAATTTCAAAAAACTATATTCTTGATTTCAAAAAGTATTAGTCACTCATTGTTTTGATGCCATGCATAACGTAACAAGGTTTGTCTTGCCCTCGTCCTGGAGAATATGTTGCAGATATGAACAAGTGCAATGGAAATGAAAGGATACACAGTGGCCAATACAGGGTCAGTTCACTTAAGACATGACACAAAACCATGGTAATACTAGGGAGAATGCCATGTCAGCCATCAGCATGTTGTATAACTTGGAGCAGAGATGGGGTGGTTGGAGGGAGTTTGGCCAAGTTTGCATGTGAGGGTGACACTGATATTTATTTATTTATTTATTTATTTTGTTTATTAATCGCGTTTATACCCCGCCTTCACTGCAATGCAGGCTCAGGGCAATAGGATATTATTTTCTGGGAATTGATTAATCTGAAAGTCTTGCTGCTTCCTTAGCCAGCCTCTGGGGGGAGGGAGTTCCTTCCTCACATTTCTGAGAACTAAAGGCAAGCAGGTTGGTGATATGGCAAGGCTTTTTTGCCAGTTGGGTTCTGTGAGACAGGCTGGGATAACAGCTAGGTCTCTTGTAGGGAGGCAGCAGAAGCAGTGACATTGCTGAAGATAGGATTTGCCAAGACAAATCAGGATTCATTAATCATCTGTGGGCTGAATCCTAGTTTCACAAACTGACCATAACAAACCTTGTTTTCACCTTAGACCTAAACTGACACATTAATGGTGTAGTGGTTGGTATGTTGGATTAGGATCTGGGAGATTCAGTTTCAGATCAAAATCCCCACTTCGTCATGAAGTTTGCTGGATGACCTTAGGCCATTCATTCCAATCAGCCTAACCTACCTCACATCTTAATATGAGGATACAATAAGTAAGGAATAGTAATGTCAACTGCCCTGAGATCCCTGGAGGACGGATGGGATAAAAAATGGACTAGATGTATATATGACTTTAATCCATTCAGATCTTAATTGAGAAAAGCAGTTTAAAATCTCAATATGCGCTTTCATTATTTAATCATCTTCTTTGTTGTGATATAACATGTTGAAAAATAGGATGAAACTTTCCATCAGAGAAAAACATCAGAGGGTAGGATTTGCTGGAATCCAAACTAAAGTGAAGGGTAAAGTCAATATAAAACTACCTTGTCCAGCTATGCCCCATCTGACTCAGTACAAAACAAAGAGAGGACTGACTACTTAGTCTCCAACCATATTTAGAAATGTGTCAAATGCTACTGGCTGTATAGTAGTATGGACTCTTGTTTTAATGTACCAATAGACAGATGTTTATGGGTTGGCTAATGGGGTGCCCTGTAGATCTATTCTGGGTTGTTGGGGTTTTTTACATCTTGTCATGAAGTTCCCCACTTGATTAGAAATTAAAACCAGGTATTATTTCCTCTCTGTTGATTCGAACTCTGTAAATGAAAGTCTGTATCATTTTGGCTTCTCAAAGGCATCACTGTTAGGCCATTGGTAAAGTGAACTATTCTCTTCAGGACACAAGCCTCAAAGGCCTAAAATGTTTCATGGAAATAGATTTGGGGTAACCCAGATCTTTTATTACAGGAGTAGTGTTCATGTGAGCAAGATCTGCACATTACTGTGCAAGCCACTGGTAAGTGGGAACACCTTGTAAACATTTTGCATAAATGTCTGCAACCCAGTTCAGATTTTTGGCAGACCCAATGGAAAATGTGCTGGGCTACCAGTAGCCTCCTGTGTGGAGGTAATTTTTTATATATCTGCACCTCCACCAAGGAATTATGCAAGCAGCCTCCAGAATTTGTGTGAATGCAGCAGCTTTTGTTCTGGACCCTGGAGCTACTATTATGATCCACTGTAACAAACTGTTCTTTTAATAACATCAAATCAACAAGATTAGTATTCATAAAGAGCTTTTTGGACAATGAACTTTTGTTTTTGTGTATAACAACTGTATATTATTTAGTTGGTACATGGGGTACAGACCATAAGCTCCATAAGGCACATTTCTGTTGTCAGGAAGCTCTGACTTCTCAGCACACAAAGCAACTATATTTTGTCCCTGAGAAAAAGTAATTTTTCTGCCCAACTAGAACTCCCGTTGTGAATGTGACTGTTGTATAGTCATTAGAGTCCCAAGAGATCTGAGTCCTGTTTCTATATCTGCTGCTGAAATAAAATGTGGCACACTGTGTCTTGTTTGGTTCCACATGCAGTGAAGACACCCTTAGGGCTCAAGCTGCTTGGAAATCACTTTTTAATTGGGCACAAAATAAAGAACAGGTAGAAGCTTAGAATCCGTGTCAGAGGATGATGTATCTGGGCAGTCTCCGCTTTCTAGAGAATGTGGAAACTCCACTACCATATCCATCCTCTGTTGGTCACAGTCTATACAAAAACAAAAGAACAAAAAACACCCACATTATTTTTGTCCACAAAGAGAAAAGTGGACACAACCATCTGTCCTGTGTAAAACATGTTGGAAAACCTCTTTCAGTGCCTAAATGTTGGAGTCAACTTATAAAGCAGAAGACTATGGCTTAGATCCTATGTTTTCTGCTGATAAAAGACTTCCACCAGCATGTAGGATGGAGCAATTTCCACCAATACTCTACTACCACGGCAGACTCCCATTTCACCTTCCTCCTTGCTGCCGATTTCCAGGGGTCCACTGAGTCCCAGGAGCAGAATTTCAGGCCAGAATGGCAGAATGCAACAGGATATAAGTCAGAAATTTCCCTTCCACAAGCATCACTGCATTTGGGTTACTCAAGCTCTAAAATAGTGTCACTACACTGATTTTCATTTGTTTACCCACAGCATCCCTGATTCAGAAGCAACTAACAAGATAGTTTCCACTACCTTTAGGTATTTCCTTTTTTCCAGGTTTTTCTATTTTCTTGAGTTTCTCCCTTTTTTCAGGTTTCTCAGGTTTTTCCCTTTTTTCAGGTTTCTCAGTTTTTCCCCGTTTTTCAGGTTTCTCCCATCTTTCAGGTTTTTTGGTTTTTTCCCGTTTTTCAGGTTTCTCAGGTTTCTCTCGTTTCTCAGGTTTCTCCCATTTTTCAGGTTTCTCAGGTTTCTCCCGTTTTTCAGGTTTCTCAGGTTTCTCTCGTTTCTCAGGTTTCTCCCATTTTTCAGGTTTCTCAGGTTTCTCAGGTTTCTCCCGTTTTTCAGGTTTCTCCCGTTTTTCAGGTTTCTCCCGTTTTTCAGGTTTCTCAGGTTTCTCCCGTTTTTCAGGTTTCTCAGGTTTCTCCCGTTTTCCAGGTTTCTCGAGTTTTTCTTTGTGAATTTCTAGAATGACAACACCAAAATGTTAATGTGTCTGAAATACATATCTTTCATAGCAGTGTGGTTATATTAAAATATCTGACATCACAAAACACCCCTGTATTAGACCAACCAATAGCCATAACAGGGGAAGTAGCACAGGGGGCATGGGAAGGAACACAGATTAGTTTGCAGTTCTTCAGATCCAACTCTCTGTCTTCAGCACTAATTGGAATTCAGCACTGATTTGTCCCTTGTATGTAAAATAATTCATTAAGTCATTTATTTATTTACATTATTTATAGTCTGTCTTTCCCACAGGGACTCAAGGTGGATTACAAATAGTGAGTACGATCAACAAAACTGGACATTCAGTAGATAGTACATTAGGATTGTAGAAATCTGGAACCAACCAGAAATAACTGGGGCACAGCATTAGAATTAACATAACACATTAAGCAGTGCAAAAACTACATAACAGGATCCTACTTACAGTATGCTATACATAAAAATATAGACCACAGTCCCTAATCACTTATCCAAGCAAGTTGTAAACCATTTTATACAGTCCAGACATATTACCTGTTCATATTACCGCCGCCTCCCGCCCCCCACCCCGTTATATTGCCATCAGGGGGGGTGGAAGAGGCCCTAGGAAGGGAGGAACATCGGAAACACTGGAATGTTTGAACATCTTAAACATCCTAACCGTCTGAACGAATGTTTGAAACCATCAAATGACGTTGGGGAACCTTTATTGGACCGCCATCTTCTTTCGCAAAGGCTGTTGGTTAACTGAGGCCTTAAATGCTACTGGAAGGAGGTGGAAATACAGGCGCCTTCTTGTCAGCAAGCTGCCATTCTGTTTTCTGTGACCTCTGTGTACATATCCTTTCCCTGTTACACCCGGCTTGGCTTCTATCATCCTGTTCCTGCTTTGGAATGCAAAAGATAACTGCTGGAGGTTGTGTGGGGGAGAAGATGCTGTAATGCTTGCCTATTGATTTTCCCAGGACTACTGCACCTGTGTTTTGTCTGATGTTCTGCCTGGTTCTCATGTACTGGGCGCGCAACCGTTTCCTTAGCCCGCCAGCGGGAAAGATATTCATTGGATCTGTATCTGTTTGAAGTTCCTTTATTATGCTTGACCTAACTGTGTATCCCCAGTTCTAACAAAGAACGTGTTTGAGTATGTCTTCAACGCTTTGAAATAAATTTTGCTTTTCTTTAAAACGTGGATTTATTCTCGATGCTTGGGGATCCAACAACAGGATGGCAGCATGCAGGGCTCACAGTGAGCGGGGCAGTGGGGCATGCACTTGAATCCTAAGTGGCAAATTGCTGCTGGGAAATCAGCCCCATGTGCTGTAGCCCCGCCCTTTATAGGGTTTTTTTTAATGAGTGGAGCATGCAGCCAGTGACAGCCCCTCTCCCTCCCTCCTGAAAGACATAAAGGGCCCTTCATCTGATTGGTGGGCCATGTGCTCCCCACCGATCAGCTGAAGCTCTTTAAATCTGACAGGAGGGGAGGGACAGGGGTGGCTCTAGGTGGCTGCTCTTGGGGTGGGGCTTGGGGTCATCCCCCCAAATGCCCCCCAAATCCCCCCACCAGAACGATGAGGGGACCTGGCAACCCTAAGGCAACCACAGTTGTCTAGTCAATCTGAAATGACTGACAAGATCTCTTAAGAAAAATGTATGTTTTATCCCCCCCCTTACTTTTAAAAATATTTCATTTTTTAATAACTGGGGGCTCCTCCAGCTTTGCAGAAGCACCACCGCTGTTTGTTCCTGATGATATTGTGTGCCTTTCTTTTTGATCCACACTCTGGGGCCAGGTACAGACTTAGCTGTACACCAAACAAGGGCAAGACTCATCAATGTTACAATCTTTGCGAAAGTTTCTTCTTCATGAATTCTGATATAGGAAGAGAGTTATAAATCAGTCAAGACTGCAGGGTGGCAAGTCTTTCAGGATGTTAATATTTATGTATTGTTGATTGTTTTGGAGTATGGACAATTATGACTGAAGTTAGTTACTTGACTAATTAAAATGTGCAGCCTTAGCTGTTCCTCCAAGGGCCTTCATGCTATATATAGCCAATTTTCTCCTCACAAGAGACCTGTCCAGTATACTGTGCAAATATTTGATCTGATGTCTTCCTCATCCAAATTTAGCACTCTGTTCAGCACATTACACTGCTAGCAATTCATAATGATATATGAAACAAGATAATTAATTAAGGGTTTAAAATGTTTACTCAACAAGCAACAACCAATTTCATATAATCTTTCATATTACACCAGCAAACTCATTTCCTAGCCCTATGTGGGAGATTACTTTGTGGCCCTTGACTGTGCAATTGTGTTCTCACCAAAAATACATTGCTGGCCAAGGGAGCTTTTATTTTTGGACATTAGTTTAGCAGCAGGAAGGTAGATTTGTGATGGTGTGTTGCTTTAGTGAGCACATATCTTCAGGATGGGCTGTTAGCTTAAACAGTGCTAGCTAACATCCTGCCTTCTGCAGACAGGCAGAATTAACACCTACAGACAGCTGCTAATCTACACTGTTGCCCATCTTTGTGCATTCAGGACTAAATCTCAAAGGACATAATAGAAGAATAATAGGATTTTCAGTTTTTCAGACACACCCCCTCCCAAAATATTCTTTTCTGTCCCCCAAGTTTAGCAATATTCCTCAATGTAAGAGGACCGAATCTTTCAACAAACACAGGGTGGAAACTTGCATTGTATTCACTACAATGTTCAGATAAGTTTGTCAACTAAACACACACACACACCAGTCTTGCTGGACTTCTTGTTTTTAGACCACTTTTCAGAAAAAGTGCAAGTTTGGTTTTTCTTCTCAGCTGTGTGTGTTGTTGTTTTTTTTCTTATCCATATACTTCAGGTGAACAGGTAGCTTTTGCATTGTGCTCTAGCTGACTCTGGATCTGCCTCAAACTGCTGGACTTTTCCCTCAGCTGGCTTCATTCCCTAGGCTCTGCTCACTGGCTCCACCATAACACCTGCTCTGAGCTATGTTTTTTGAACTGGAGGAGTCTACCCCAGGCAGTGGGTAGCTACCAACTTTTGGAGTTCAAGAACTGGGAAGCCCTGCTTTCTATTGTTATTTTTAGGAATACTGGATTGGATCCTGCATACTGCAAGCAACAGGCAGTCAAATACAGACCTTTCCTGTCTTCACCTTCCTACAATAATCCTCTATGAACTTTGAAAAGACATTGTAGGTGGTAAAGAGATCCCCATGACAAAAAAAACCAAACACTCAGCAGTGGGGACCTGCAATGAGATGGGAGGTAAGGATCATTGTAGCATAATAGGCTCCAGTGGCAAAAGAGAACGAGTGATAGTATCTAATGCCTCCTTCCTATTGCAGCCTGGCAATGCTGGGTGGCTTTTTATCTGGAGGAGTCCTCTAACCTAGACCAAGGCATGGTGGGGGGAGCCGCTGTGAGAAGGGAAAGATTTGTTTCTATGAACATAAGATGCTAGCAGTTTGTGGCACCCAACCCATGAACTTTACTTCTACACAAATCGCAAATTATTATAAATTGTCACATAGCCCTTTATGGGCTGTCAAACTTTTGCTGAAATGTAGTTTATTGTGATTACTCTATAGTTTAAGGTCACAAAGTTAAAAAAAGTACTTCACAAACTTTTAATTTTACTTTGTATAATAGCAGAACAATAAGCAGAAACCTCTCAAAACTGCTTAAAGATTAGACTGTTACAAGAAGAGGACTCACAAGCACTTTTAAAAAAATTATATATGTTGAAATATAAGACTATAAATTAACAGACAACAAACAACAGTAACATAGATATATATATAGCTTCATCAGAGATTACAATATGTTAAACCTTATAAATATATGATGGATATTCTTTAGGAAAAGTACACAATATTAATAGAAGTAGTACAATTTCAACACTATTCTGTATAATATATAAAACATACATAATACACAAAACAAGGTAATTAGGAGAAGGAGGAAACAGATGGAGAAAAGCAGAGGTAGCGATTCTAAAACATCAAGATATAATCAGGTGAGTCAGTCCAGAAATTGTGTAATAATGGGTACCATTTCTCTATTAAATATGTTTGATTTGTGCTATTTTTGTGGCTAAGTGTGTTAGTTGAAATCTTATCTAACGTGCAATACTCCCAAAGTTTGGTACGTCATTGTTGTATCCTAGGGAGGGATTCTTTTTTTCCAACACGAAGCTATAGAACTTTGACAAGCACTCATGAGGATGTTTCCATACACCCACTGTTTTTTGTTTTTCCTTTCTAAAATGGCCACTGAGATCTCACAAAGTAGTCTTATGAGATCTTAGTGGCATTCTTTTATTTTCAAAAGCAGTTATGTGTTCTGTGAATTGGGTATTTTTAAACACCTCAGTGTATCTTTTTTAACATGTCATGTTTGCCCACAGACCTGGGAGTTCCCAGGAGGTTCCCAGGAGACCTGGGAGTTCCCAGGAGGAAAAAAACACCCTTCTCTGTGCATGGCCGCATTATGCAGATTTCTGAAACACATTCTGAGGTCATGTTCAGAATTAGATATATAGATCTTGTAGCCCCAAAATATACTTTTCTATAGAAAACTAAAAACCCCATCTTTCCTTATTATCTTTGATATGCATTTTAATACAGAGTGCAGTCATTTATAATTTACAACATTCTGGAAGTAAAGAACACAGTTTCTGATGTCACGGTAATACACCTGAACTGTGACCAGTCTTTACTATTTGATGTAACCAAATGATAGCTGAAATTACAGCTTCCATGGTCGTGGATACATCTACACACATCCATCCTTACATTCCTTTATGAAGACTAATTGATGAAGGCACCAATGGTGTGTGTGGGGGGTCAATGGTATATTTATGTGACCTGGAGGACTTTTTAACCAGGTTTGCAGTTTGGTCTTGAAGGCTCCTGAAGAAGAAATGAATGAGAAAAGTACAAAGGTGAATTGCAATCTCTTTCCTGC